TTTGAAAACAAGAAAGAAAAGCTAACTTCGGGCGGAGCCGAACAGTTAAAACCGGATATATATCGCAAACATCGGATATAGTTAGCCGATCCTTATGGGAATAGGAATATATAATCCAATTTTTTACAATACAAAATCTAAAAAAAAGTCCCAAACTTCTATCTTCAAAAATTCGAAAGTTGATATTTCTACCAAATACCATTTCCGATCGTTCAGTTATATGGCAGCTATAGGATATAGTCGGCCGATCCGGGCCGTTCCGACTTATATACTGCGTGCAAAGGAAAGAAGGGTGTGTGCAAAGTTTCAAGACGATAGCTTTAAAACTGAGAGACTAGTTTGCGTAGAAACAGACAGACGGACAGACGGACATGCTCATATCAACTCAGGAGGTGATCCTGATCAAGAATATATATACTTTATAGGGTCGGAGATGTCTCCTTCACTGCGTTGCACACTTTTGACCAAAATTATAATACCCTCTGCAAGGGTATAAAAAGCCACAGATGAACAGAATAAAGAAAAAAATTATTCAATCTTGCATATCCTCCACTGGAAAATCCAGCATATATTCTAATTGGTTTTCGGTTACCCATCCCTGTTATGAACACAGGATGAAAATGCTTGACGGATTTGTTTTAATATTATTGGGGAAAAACAGCAAATGGCTAACAGAAAAAATTTATTTCAAAGGAAAAGCTGCATCAGCAGCGGGTTCAAGGAAACTAAAAATACTCAAACAATAATTTTTTGTTTTGTAAATGTTTTATTTTTTTATTATGTTTTATTTTTTTATTATGTTTTATTTTTTTATTAGGTTAGGAGTAGGTAATGTTAGGTGGAGAACAAGGAGATAGCCAATTAGTTTTGGTATCTCAAGTCGACTCGAAAGTCTTCATTGAAGAGTCCATCGCATTCGCAATCGCCTCCTCGTGATACCTATATATAGGTACCTATATATATATATATATATACATATATAAGTACGTAAATATATATATATATATTTATATATATTTATATACATATATCTGTAACAAATTCGAGCGGCGACTTTTTTAAAGTTCCAAAATATATAAGGAAATTATTAAACTAACGACTGTTGTTTTGTGTCATGTGGAGTTGCCTTAAACGGTTCCCCACACGCGTAGGTCCGAAGAAAGGGGTACTTCAAAGGCCTTGGCTGTGGCTAACGGAACGTTTTATTCTATAAATTCATACATTAGTTTACAATTCAAATATTAATCCTTCTTCTTACCGCAGTGTGCCCTCCTACAATCAACAAAACAATGAATGGCACTTTTTGGCGGCATTCACACTACCGCTATTAGTAGGCCCGTAATTCCGACAACTTAAAATACTACATTTCCTAATAATACTGACTTAACTATCGATAACAATGTTTTTGACCGTCGACATCCCCGACCCCGTGAAGACCCGCTTCACTCAAATCCAAACTCCAAGTTTAGAGACGGGCCGCAACATTGTCCAAGATAGTCCATTAGCTCCATCCATCTCCATCGGCTCCGCTGTAGACCTCCTCCACGATGCCCTTGCGCCACTCTCGTCTGGGCAAGGCAGGATCGCAGACGAAGACCATATCGCCCTGGCGGATGGGCTCCGTTCCCTGGCACCACTTCTCGCGGCGCACAAGCGTAGGCAGGTACTCCATGGTGGGACTCCACATGGTCCCTCGGCGCGACTTCTTCCAGGGTATGGCGCAGCACTCGCTTGACGCAATGCACCATCTGCTCCCATACTCCGCCTCTGTATCCTCTCCGTCTCGAACGCGTCTCCAAATCGTCTGGCCTCCTTGTCGGCTCCCACGAAGTTCTTGCTCACCTCGTACACATCCGGGTCTCGATCGTCGTTACCATCTCTCCAAAGGAATCGTTGGGAACATCGATCTCCAACCTTGGCTGCAGTATTAAACACAAGCCGGACCTCACCGGGCTTGTTCGGGGTTTCGACACCGAATCGTGGCAAATTCCATAGCTTGTCGCTTTTCACCGCGACCTCATCCGGCTGCAATTTCCTCGCATATCCTTTGGACACGTCCTTGATGATCCGATCGTATCCTAGCGCCAACGGCCCGTTGCGCTTCAACTTCTCGACGTTGATCAGCCGTCTGTGTGCCATCTCGTAGCTCCGCGGCAGCACAGCGTGGTCCTCCTTCCAGAGCAATCCCGTCTGGTCGCGACGCCCCACTTTCACCGTGGTGTCGTCGAGGATCCTTTGGGCCCGCGCGTCGTCGCTGGCTGCGACCGGTTGCGCGAGCTTCACACCAAAGCCTTCCATCTCGACGTAGTCCTCCACCATCTTTTCCATCGTGTCCTCCACTGACACGGCTAGAAGGCAGGACCTCGGTGACGGCGTAGTTAATTGTCCACTTACTGGCCCAAACACAACCCATCCAAGCTCGGTTGCGGCCACGAACGGTCCCTCTCTGGCAAACCGCTTCGTCCTAAGTGGCAATCCCAAATGTCCATGGTCCAGTCCGATGAGCAACTTCGGCACCACGTTGCTGTAAGGCTTCATCGGCAGTCGCGAATCCTTATGAACGCCCTGGACATCTCGTCGACATAACGTCTGCATCGGCAGACTCAGGCTCGAAACGGCGTACACGTTCCTCAACGGGTGACGAGTGAGCTTCCCAGCTCCACTGATCTCCAGGCTCACCACGTTGGTAGGCTCCCTGCTTGCTCTTCCTCCAAACCATTGGATGTTCAGTTGTCGACGTTCGCCTTGCACTCCCAGATCCCTCCGTAGCTCATCGTCGATCATCGTGACGGAGGATCCTTCATCTAATAGCGCCTATGTGTCCACCTGGCGACCAGCTCCGTACAGCGTTACTGGCAGTATACGGAACAAAAGTCGGCCTCCTTTGACGTCAATACTCAAGTTCCTCTGCATGGGCGCCTCCGCTGGCTGCGGGGCCCTTCTCTCCTGGCTGTTCCTGCGGACAGCCGACTCCTGGGTCCTCTCGTGGTCCCTGTAACCACCTCGTGGCGAAGACCTCCTGTCCGGGCTGCGTCTGGAAACTGGTGACATCTGGTTCCCTCCGTTGTGGCGCCTGAAACCACCTCGCTGCTCCGGCCGTCTTCGCCCTTCGTCCTCTTCATGTAGCAGACGGTGATGCAATCTGCGGCATCCGTTGATCTGGCACTCGCCATGCACATCGCAGGATCTGGCCGCATGCCCACTCCGTAAGCATGTGAAGCAGAGCCGATGCCTCTTCACCATGCTCCATCTGCCCGGTGGCGAAGCTCCAATGAATTCGCTGCAACTCGTCGTAGCATGTTGACCTTCACAAATTGGACAACCTCCATGCCGGTCATCCCGCTGCTCGTATCCGTTCTGGTCGACGCTCGCGTGTAGAACTCGACGCCTCGGCTCCTTTCCATCGACGTCCAAAATCGTACACACGATGTTCGCGTACTCCTGTAGCCACGCGCTGAAGTGCGCTACAGTGGGAAAGGGCTGGATCGATGCAGCGTGCCTGGCCCAATCCACTCGTTTGCTGGTGGGAAGCTTTGCCACAAGCTCCTCCATGAGTGTGGGGTTTCCCAGATGTTGCTCCGCCTTTGCCGACTGCAAGAAGGCCGTGAGGTTACTCACTCTGGTTGCGAAGGGGACGATCCTCGCCAGTTGCTGCTCCGAAATCGGCTGAACCTCTCGCACGCTGTTCAGCTGGCTGCGTATAAGCTGCTCCGGTCGGCCAAACCTAAACCGCAGCTGCTCCATCACGGCTCTGACGTTTGCAGGGTGAATCAGCAGCGACTTCACTGTCTCGCGTGCTTCATCCTTCAGCGCCTTCAAAAGCCTCTGGTTGTTCTCCAGATCCGTGCAGTTGTACGCTTGGGTCGTCTCTACAAATGCACAATTAAAGATGGGCCAATCCTCGGGCTGCCCTCCAAATATAGGCAAGTCCGGGAGCCTCCTTGGTCCATTAGCTTGGGTTCCATTCGGCGTCATCCAGGCGTAGGATCCAACAAATGGTGATGCAGTTGCTACGTTGTGGATGCTCCCGCCCGGTAGCGCGAATCCATGCGCTGTCTGCGCAGCACTTATAGCGCACAGTGGGTTGCTAGTCGTTAGCAACGGTGGTCCACTCCAAGATGGCGGCAGCGTGTAGGTCCCACTGGTCGCACCGAAACTGCTATATGGGTCCGGCCCGACCCCGTTAGTTGGTGCCTCACCGTTCGATGTGGCGGTTAATGGCGGTCCGCTCCACGATGGCGGCCGCTCCGACGCTCCACTGTTGGCGCCATTTGCGCTTGGGCCAACTGCGATTGGCGCGCAATTGGCGGTGCTTGCTGTGTCCATGGCTTTGACCTTCTTCAGCTCGTTCTCCAACGCCGTAATCCTCTCCAATAGGTACGCCGTGAGTGGCTGGCTCACCTCCGGCTCTGAACTCGCAGCTGCTGTTACAGTGCTCCTTGGTTGGGACGCTACTGTAGTCGCTGTAGTGGCTGGGCGAGAAATGGCCGCCGCCGTGGTTATGTTAACCCTTGGCCGGCTTTCTGCTGCACTACTCACTGGCTGCTGATCCGCTCGCGTTGTAGGTGTGGCTTCCCCTCCGTTCAGCCGGGAACTCCTCCTGGGGGAATGCTGCATCTCGAGATATCCAAATCCAAATATAATATGGTCCAAATATGGCGCTGCGCCGCGCTCCAAAATGGCGGACCTGTGCCGTCTGGCCGCTGATGCTTGGCGCTCCTTGCGCCTCCTGACGCTGGCTGCGTCTCCTGAACCGACGCTGGCTGCGTCTCCTGAACCGACGCTGGCTGCGTCTCCTAAACCGACGCTGGCTGCGTCTCCTGAACCGACGCTGGCTGCGTCTCCGTGTCGCTGGCTGCGACTCCGTCCGTACTCAGTGTTTGGCGCTGGCTGCGCCGTCTATGTCGCTGGCTGCGACTCCTCTGCTGGTACGGGAACTGCGCTCCGTGCGCTCCTGGCAACTCTCTAGCTGGTCGTCGAGCTGTCCTCCAGCGCAAGTTGGCTTGCAGTCTCCCTAGGACTGCGAATAAAAGCTGTTGTTTTGTGTCATGTGGAGTTGCCTTAAACGGCTCCCCACACGCGTAGGTCCGAAGAAAGGGGTACTTCAAAGGCCTTGGCTGTGGCTAACGGAACGTTTTATTCTATAAATTCATACATTAGTTTACAATTCAAATATTAATCCTTCTTCTTACCGCAGTGTGCCCTCCTACAATCAACAAAACAATGAATGGCACTTTTTGGCGGCATTCACACTACCGCTATTAGTAGGCCCGTAATTCCGACAACTTAAAATACTACATTTCCTAATAATACTGACTTAACTATCGATAACAATGTTTTTGACCGTCGACATCCCCGACCCCGTGAAGACCCGCTTCACTCAAATCCAAACTCCAAGTTTAGAGACGGGCCGCAACATTGTCCAAGATAGTCCATTAGCTCCATCCATCTCCATCGGCTCCGCTGTAGACCTCCTCCACGATGCCCTTGCGCCACTCTCGTCTGGGCAAGGCAGGATCGCAGACGAAGACCATATCGCCCTGGCGGATGGGCTCCGTTCCCTGGCACCACTTCTCGCGGCGCACAAGCGTAGGCAGGTACTCCATGGTGGGACTCCACATGGTCCCTCGGCGCGACTTCTTCCAGGGTATGGCGCAGCACTCGCTTGACGCAATGCACCATCTGCTCCCATACTCCGCCTCTGTATCCTCTCCGTCTCGAACGCGTCTCCAAATCGTCTGGCCTCCTTGTCGGCTCCCACGAAGTTCTTGCTCACCTCGTACACATCCGGGTCTCGATCGTCGTTACCATCTCTCCAAAGGAATCGTTGGGAACATCGATCTCCAACCTTGGCTGCAGTATTAAACACAAGCCGGACCTCACCGGGCTTGTTCGGGGTTTCGACACCGAATCGTGGCAAATTCCATAGCTTGTCGCTCTTCACCGCGACCTCATCCGGCTGCAATTTCCTCGCATATCCTTTGGACACGTCCTTGATGATCCGAACGTATCCTAGCGCCAACGGCCCGTTGCGCTTCAACTTCTCGACGTTGATCAGCCGTCTGTGTGCCATCTCGTAGCTCCGTGGCAGCACAGCGTGGTCCTCCTTCCAGAGCAATCCCGTCTGGTCGCGACGCCCCACTTTCACCGTGGTGTCGTCGAGGATCCTTTGGGCCCGCGCGTCGTCGCTGGCTGCGACCGGTTGCGCGAGCTTCACACCAAAGCCTTCCATCTCGACGTAGTCCTCCACCATCTTTTCCATCGTGTCCTCCACTGACACGGCTAGAAGGCAGGACCTCGGTGACGGCGTAGTTAATTGTCCACTTACTGGCCCAAACACAACCCATCCAAGCTCGGTTGCGGCCACGAACGGTCCCTCTCTGGCAAACCGCTTCGTCCTAAGTGGCAATCCCAAATGTCCATGGTCCAGTCCGATGAGCAACTTCGGCACCACGTTGCTGTAAGGCTTCATCGGCAGTCGCGAATCCTTATGAACGCCCTGGACATCTCGTCGACATAACGTCTGCATCGGCAGACTCAGGCTCGAAACGGCGTACACGTTCCTCAACGGGTGACGAGTGAGCTTCCCAGCTCCACTGATCTCCAGGCTCACCACGTTGGTAGGCTCCCTGCTTGCTCTTCCTCCAAACCATTGGATGTTCAGTTGTCGACGTTCGCCTTGCACTCCCAGATCCCTCCGTAGCTCATCGTCGATCATCGTGACGGAGGATCCTTCATCTAATAGCGCCTATGTGTCCACCTGGCGACCAGCTCCGTACAGCGTTACTGGCAGTATACGGAACAAAAGTCGGCCTCCTTTGACGTCAATACTCAAGTTCCTCTGCATGGGCGCCTCCGCTGGCTGCGGGGCCCTTCTCTCCTGGCTGTTCCTGCGGACAGCCGACTCCTGGGTCCTCTCGTGGTCCCTGTAACCACCTCGTGGCGAAGACCTCCTGTCCGGGCTGCGTCTGGAAACTGGTGACATCTGGTTCCCTCCGTTGTGGCGCCTGAAACCACCTCGCTGCTCCGGCCGTCTTCGCCCTTCGTCCTCTTCATGTAGCAGACGGTGATGCAATCTGCGGCATCCGTTGATCTGGCACTCGCCATGCACATCGCAGGATCTGGCCGCATGCCCACTCCGTAAGCATGTGAAGCAGAGCCGATGCCTCTTCACCATGCTCCATCTGCCCGGTGGCGAAGCTCCAATGAATTCGCTGCAACTCGTCGTAGCATGTTGACCTTCACAAATTGGACAACCTCCATGCCGGTCATCCCGCTGCTCGTATCCGTTCTGGTCGACGCTCGCGTGTAGAACTCGACGCCTCGGCTCCTTTCCATCGACGTCCAAAATCGTACACACGATGTTCGCGTACTCCTGTAGCCACGCGCTGAAGTGCGCTACAGTGGGAAAGGGCTGGATCGATGCAGCGTGCCTGGCCCAATCCACTCGTTTGCTGGTGGGAAGCTTTGCCACAAGCTCCTCCATGAGTGTGGGGTTTCCCAGATGTTGCTCCGCCTTTGCCGACTGCAAGAAGGCCGTGAGGTTACTCACTCTGGTTGCGAAGGGGACGATCCTCGCCAGTTGCTGCTCCGAAATCGGCTGAACCTCTCGCACGCTGTTCAGCTGGCTGCGTATAAGCTGCTCCGGTCGGCCAAACCTAAACCGCAGCTGCTCCATCACGGCTCTGACGTTTGCAGGGTGAATCAGCAGCGACTTCACTGTCTCGCGTGCTTCATCCTTCAGCGCCTTCAAAAGCCTCTGGTTGTTCTCCAGATCCGTGCAGTTGTACGCTTGGGTCGTCTCTACAAATGCACAATTAAAGATGGGCCAATCCTCGGGCTGCCCTCCAAATATAGGCAAGTCCGGGAGCCTCCTTGGTCCATTAGCTTGGGTTCCATTCGGCGTCATCCAGGCGTAGGATCCAACAAATGGTGATGCAGTTGCTACGTTGTGGATGCTCCCGCCCGGTAGCGCGAATCCATGCGCTGTCTGCGCAGCACTTATAGCGCACAGTGGGTTGCTAGTCGTTAGCAACGGTGGTCCACTCCAAGATGGCGGCAGCGTGTAGGTCCCACTGGTCGCACCGAAACTGCTATATGGGTCCGGCCCGACCCCGTTAGTTGGTGCCTCACCGTTCGATGTGGCGGTTAATGGCGGTCCGCTCCACGATGGCGGCCGCTCCGACGCTCCACTGTTGGCGCCATTTGCGCTTGGGCCAACTGCGATTGGCGCGCAATTGGCGGTGCTTGCTGTGTCCATGGCTTTGACCTTCTTCAGCTCGTTCTCCAACGCCGTAATCCTCTCCAATAGGTACGCCGTGAGTGGCTGGCTCACCTCCGGCTCTGAACTCGCAGCTGCTGTTACAGTGCTCCTTGGTTGGGACGCTACTGTAGTCGCTGTAGTGGCTGGGCGAGAAATGGCCGCCGCCGTGGTTATGTTAACCCTTGGCCGGCTTTCTGCTGCACTACTCACTGGCTGCTGATCCGCTCGCGTTGTAGGTGTGGCTTCCCCTCCGTTCAGCCGGGAACTCCTCCTGGGGGAATGCTGCATCTCGAGATATCCAAATCCAAATATAATATGGTCCAAATATGGCGCTGCGCCGCGCTCCAAAATGGCGGACCTGTGCCGTCTGGCCGCTGATGCTTGGCGCTCCTTGCGCCTCCTGACGCTGGCTGCGTCTCCTGAACCGACGCTGGCTGCGTCTCCTGAACCGACGCTGGCTGCGTCTCCTAAACCGACGCTGGCTGCGTCTCCTGAACCGACGCTGGCTGCGTCTCCGTGTCGCTGGCTGCGACTCCGTCCGTACTCAGTGTTTGGCGCTGGCTGCGCCGTCTATGTCGCTGGCTGCGACTCCTCTGCTGGTACGGGAACTGCGCTCCGTGCGCTCCTGGCAACTCTCTAGCTGGTCGTCGAGCCGTCCTCCAGCGCAAGTTGGCTTGCAGTCTCCCTAGGACTGCGAATAAAAGCTGTTGTTTTGTGTCATGTGGAGTTGCCTTAAACGGCTCCCCACACGCGTAGGTCCGAAGAAAGGGGTACTTCAAAGGCCTTGGCTGTGGCTAACGGAACGTTTTATTCTATAAATTCATACATTAGTTTACAATTCAAATATTAATCCTTCTTCTTACCGCAGTGTGCCCTCCTACAATCAACAAAACAATGAATGGCACTTTTTGGCGGCATTCACACTACCGCTATTAGTAGGCCCGTAATTCCGACAACTTAAAATACTACATTTCCTAATAATACTGACTTAACTATCGATAACAATGTTTTTGACCGTCGACAAACGACAATAATTTAATAAAATCTCACAATAACCCAAATTAATAACAAGTGCCTGAAAAATTGTAAACAAAAAAGGTAAACAAGTCCATCAGCTGTTTTCGTGTCTTCACCCTCCCCTAAAAATCATTCCATCGTTAGAGTAGGCATGCACAAGCCTCTTGCAGAAAAACAAAAACTTAAAAGCAATCGGCGTTTTAAGTGACTCCGACTGAAATATACTCTGACACTTTCTCACATTTTACTACTAACACTTAATCTTATTCCTAAATAAATTAAAAATGTATGCTGAAATAATAAAAAATATAATATAAAAAATAATATAATTTCTTTCGTCATTTCATCAAATAACGAATACCCGAATTTGGTTAGGGTAGCAAGCCTGAAAAGTAAGAAAAATCAAAATTTTGTGCGCTGGCTTCGAAACGAAATCGCACGCACACATACACCCGTGTATGTGAATGTGTGACACGCATACATACGAAGATCAACCGAAGCGCAGGCCAACCTTCTTCATCGCGCTCCGTTTAGAGACTGAGAAACAGAAAACATTTAATGCGAGAATGAGCGTAAGATGAACGAACGATGAGCGTAAGAGAGCGTAAGAAATCCGCTCTGGGGCCTGCTGAGGCCTGTCGCAAGAAATTTTTGCGTCCATTTTCGTTGTATGAAATGGGTTGTCTATATGCTGTATGGTTAGTGGTTATATGCAACAAAAATAACAAACACAAATGAAGTTATTATAGCATTGAAAGGTTATTTTAGATCGTATAGTAGACTTGTATCGTCTTGGATAGGGGCAGTTGTTTTACATCTGAGGATTTTAAGAAATTTCTCGAAGATTATAATGTTAAGCATGTAAAAATAGCAACAGGGTAACCTCAAGCTAATGAGCAGGTGGAAAGAATTAATCGAGCCGATGATAGCGAAATTGGCAGACTCAGAAAAGGGATTGCATTGGGATACAGTCATTGAAGATGTTGAGTTTTCGTTAAACAATACAAAGCAGAGAAGCATTGCGCAAATTCCGAGCAAAATTTTATTTGGAATTGCCCAAAAAGGAGAGGTTGTAGATGAATTAAGACAAAAGTTAGAAGAATTAGATAATACCGATAATGTTAGGAATTTAGACAAAATTAGGAAAAAAGAAACAGAGTCTCAAACAAAGATAATGAAAAAAAAACAAAAGACAATGAAAGAAAAAGAAAAGATGAAAAAAAGAAAGAGAGTTCAAAAAACAAGGTAGGTGATTATATCGTGGTTAAAAATTTTTATTGTGTGGTTGGAGTTACAATAAAGTTAATACCCAAACATAAGGGTTCATTCGTAATAGACAAAGTTTTTAAAAATGATAGGTATTTAAATAAAGATATTGAAGGTTTGCAATCACGTATTCCATATCGAGGAGTCTGGAGAAGTCAGAACATTTAAAATTCGATAGGTAAACGAAAATTAAGCTCGAATGTTATGTAAACTTTTGAAAATAAATAACTAATAGTATCTAAGCCAAATATATGTAAGAATCAATTGTAATAAAAGATATATCACAAAATCAGGGGATCTTTAAAAGTCAGGACGGTCGAATTGTAGCAGGATTGCTACTTATTGTACCTATATATATGTATGTTAACTGGAAATGTATAGCATAACTGTAAACGGTTGTTAGTGTAAATCAGTGTTGCTGCATTTCTCTCTCAGCGAGTTATGAGGGTTGATGCGGATGACGAGTTGAGAGCGGAGTCAGTCGAACGCCAGCAGTGATCTTAAGGGGTTATATACAGTTGTACCGCGCAAGAATATGGAATTTTTTCGATTTTTTTTTGACACCATAAAAAATATTTATGAAAAATGTTTTACCGACTTTGTTTAGTACATGTTTTTGGGTACCTAATTAAATTTTTTCATAAAAAAATATTACATAACAAAAATGTTATAGCCGAATTCCCGAATCGTCTTTTTTCGATGGTGTCTTGCGGTGGACAGGATTTCTCGAAAACCGTTCATCCGAAATCCAAAATTCAAAAAAGTTTAGTTAGTATATTGTATTGTCTAGTCCGTGAACGAGGGATTTTTAAAAATTTTGATTTAAAAAAAAATGGCGACGTTTTTAACAAAAAATGTACTTTTTCAAGGTATAAGATTTTCGTTTTTTGTGCTTTAAAAAAGGAGTTTTCAAAAAAAAATCCTCGTTCACGGACTAGCTAATATCATAATAAATAGGTGGTCAAAATTTGGTGTTGATCGGATTAGTAGTTTTTTAGTAATCGTGTCCACCGCAAAGGTAATTTCCCAAAAAAAAGATTCTGAGATAATCGCGTTTAAAGTTTCAAGTTTGTTCAAGTTTTATATGCAGATATTGCGCTATAAATAGCAACAGCTTCGGTTCTAATGCTCTGATCATTATGCATTTTTGTGAGAGTATTCCCAATAGAATATACTTTAAGAATATGCAATAAAAAAAAAATCGATATTTTCATATATCACAACTGTATTCTGGTGTTCTGCTTCAGAGACATTTGTTATATCCCTACATGTTTTGAGTCATGATCATTGTAATTCAATTTGCAATGAGTCTCTACCACACTTTAGACAAGGAGGATAAGAGATTTATTGGGCAATATGACTCTGAAAAAACCTCTGGTTTTCCACGATTGTGCATCATTATAAACGCAGACAGGTTCCACTGCTTTGAGAGTATAGGATCGCTCGGGGTTTAGGATATCGATTGCCCGGGGTTTAATTTTTTAGCAGAAATTGGATGACTTCAGTTATTTCCTCAATTTTTATAGGATTCATAGGCAATGAAATATGCAATAGAGTCTCTAAGCTCTTATGGGTCTCTCTAATTTGTTCAAAGTTAGCAAAGTTAAAAGGAGTACAGCGATTTTCCAGATGCTGCCCAAAAACATTGGTCTGCTTCAGTTCATTTTTTGCCAGAACACAGTCAGGACATCGGACTAGAATCTGTCTAAAGAATTGACGTTTGAGAGATTTTGTGCTCTTTTATAGTAAGTAATTTGCGTCAATTTGCGTGTAGTCCATAGAGGAAAAGTAATGCTCGAATAAATCGCTTCAGAGTTTCCCCTAAAACTACTCTTAATTTTCTCTCTGCCTGGTGCCACAATTGTCGGTCCATGGGATCTTGAGAACGGATTGTTGTTCTTCTAAGGCCTTTTACCTCTGTACCTCTGCCCGACTGTATCCTATTTGGGAGCCAACATTCGGTCAGTTTTTTTGACTTTTTTTTAGATTTTTTATTGCAATAAATTGTTTTATTATGATATTCTCATAAGGATCGGCCAACTATATCCGATGTTTGCGATATATATCCGAATTTAATTGCAAGTACTTTTGTAACTTTGGCTCCGCCCGAAGTTAGCTTTCCTTTCTGGTTGTAATTGTGACTGAGATTGAAGATCATGTAGATGGCGCTGACCCGTTCCATTTTCATTTTTACCATCAAGGTATAAGATAAACCTCCACAATTGGTTGTAGAAATGTAAAGCATTTGCTGAGTATGATGATGTCAAGTTGACAGTTGTTGCTGAAGATTTTTTGTGATTTTACCCCATTGTTTTCATCTTTACAGAATCCATAGATCGTCTAAGGTCATTTTGATACCACTGGCAACCTTTGCAGTTAGCAGAATGAATTCTTCCGGTGTATACAGATAGGCACTTCGCTGTGTGGCTAAATTCTTGGAATCGTATGAATTGAGCAATTTCTGATGATTTGCGCATCCTTTTTATTTTCACTCGTTTACGGAAAAGTGTTCCTATATCATATACATATAGCATTAATTCTTAACTTGTTTATTATTAATAAAAAAAATACTCTATATTTTACATTACAGTTCGATCATAATCTTGGGTTATATACCTGAAGAGAATCTTAAACATATTTTTTTAATATTAATAAAAATATGTTCAATTTTACATCTCGGTTCGATCATTATCTTGTGTTGTGTACCTGAAAAGCATCGAAGTCAAATGTTTTGAAATTGGTTAAAATTTCACTGGTTTATGTGCTATGATGAAGTCCCCTAACTTTCATTCTTTGAGGCTTTTCTTCCTTCATTTTGTAAGTATAAGTAATAAGTAATCGAATAATTATGTAATAAGTGACTAGTAAACGAATACTATATTTCGATTTTATCAAAATGGTAAACCATAACTCAATAACTTTAGGAGTCTTTGGAAAGGATTTTAACCGTAACTTCTTGATTACCTTTAACTATTATGTTATTTAAGTTAGTGACCTCAGCAATAAAATCATATAGATCATTAAAATCATTAAACTATTAAAATTATTTGCGGTGGTTTTATATTATCCTTAAGGGGAGGGTAAGGTATTAAATTTTTTTTTTTGCCATTTTTTTTTTATTTTTTAAATTGAATGCATAATATTTGAAGAATATTGTGTCAAAATTTCAAGTCAATTAAAGCAAAATTGACGAAGTTATTAGTTATTGACGAAGTTGCTTATAAACGTTTTACACTGGATTTTTTTGTGTTTAAAACTTTAAAGCGTTTTTCCCACAACTCACGTTTTCAAAGTCGGTGCCCCTCATAACTTCAAAACTACTGCACCGATCCTTTTGAAATTTTAAACACCATTTCTGTACATATTTTACAAGGTAACGCTGTCGAGTTTTTTTTTTTGTTCATAATTTTGATTTCGCAATGACAAATTAACCGATTTTTTCCCAAAAAATTAAGTTTTTCACTTCAAAGTCTTCGAAAAAATTAAAAAATTGCAATTTTCAAAAAACCTTTACAGCGTTACCTGGGGCGAACTATTATCTAACGAATGAATTTTTATTTTTTGATTACAAATGATCCAGCACCGAGTTATGAGGGGCACCGCAATTCAACTTTTTTTGGCGACACGTCCGGACAATTGCTACCATTGCCATATTTTTAAATATTTTTTTGTAAAAATTTGATAAAACATTCTTCTAATGTCCTATTTTAATATAGCTTTGGTTGAATAAATAAATTTTAACTGTGTCGTCAGGAAAACAATCACAAAAACATGGCTTTTTTCGCATGATTTGACCGTACCCTCCCCTTAACTTGGAGAATGCTGTGTAGGAGGCGGTAGCACTGCGGAGGCAGGTTGTCCTTACTCTGAACGAGGGGATCGTGAAGATACTGGAAGGGTCGGAACACCGGGCTCAATACGGATTCAATCACGTAACGGTCAAACACGTAACAAAAACAAACACGGAGCCGAACGAAGAGAGACACCCGGAAGGAATGTCGGATGAGGAGCAGGACATCCTGGAAGGGTACACCTCGGAGGAGAGCGACTTGGCAAGGGCTCTTAGAGGCGTCGGGATGGAGGAGGATTCTCTGCTGAGCTCCGAGACGAAAGTAGAGGTTACTTTGGTGGAGAATCACACGGATGTCTCTGACAATCTTCCAGATAAGCCTCCACCACAGTAAGACGGCATATGTAGTGTGCCTTATATAGCTGATCTTGGTAAAAAGGACTGTTGAGGCGACAATAGGAGAAGAGTCTATTCAAAGATACGTCAGAAGAGGCTCTCCGCAAGGAGGTGTACTCCTGAAATAGTGGGCTGATCCCTATTGAAATTTTAATTAATGAAACCAATTTATTAGAATAAAAAATTTAAAAAGAAACCCAAGCTTCTGTCTTCAAAAATACCAAGGTTGGTGTTTTTAACAATTACCAAATAATATTTCCGATCGTTCAGTTATATGGCAGCTATAAGATATAGTCGGCTGATCCTTAGGAAATTTGGTAGGTCGGATTAGACCAATAATAGATTACAATAGATACATTATTTTGCCAAAAATAGAATCCATACAGAATCCCAACTATCTAACTCTTAAAATACCAATGTTATTGGTATGTAGGCAATTCCGACCAAGCAGTTATATGATAGCTATAGGACAGATCCGACTTGTACACTGCGTGCCAATTTCAAGCCCATAACTTTAAAACTGAGAGATAGTTCGCGTAGAAACAGAAAAACAGAGGGAGAGACGGACATGCTTTTATCAAGTCAGGAGGTGATCCTGATCAAGAACATACTAGGGATTAAGGGATATTATAGGGTCGCATATGTCTCCTTCACTGCGTTTTCTACTTTTGACCAAAATTAAAATACTCTCTGTAAGGATATAAAAACGGGACATCACCATATATCAAAATCTCCTTTAAAACTGTAATGTTAGTTGGCCTACTGAATAAAAGACAAGTGATTTTACTAGTATTTTACAAAAATCTTTTTGTTTGTACCACAAATTAAACGTGTGTGTAAAAAACAAGTAAAATTTCAGAGAAATTTGAGTGGAAGTGTTTTGTGTGGCACCCCTGATAATTTGGTGCGTAAATTTGATATAGATACTAAATCAGATACTCAAATTCCTAAAAAGTTCGGTGAACTATATCTAATAAGTTCGACACATGTATTGTATGTATCCAAAATGTATCGACACATCTTTCCAAATAACTCCATCTTACATCTAACTAACTTCTAAGGTAAATCTAAGGTAACCTTACAAGGTAAATCACATTCGCCTCCGCCCGAAGCTTTTCGTTCTTGTTTTAGATTAAATAAAGGGAAGACGGTTTCAATACCAGAAGGTACATATACTTAAAACTTACAAATGCCATATCGCAAAGAAAATAATAAATAGCATATTTATAACTATTAAACTAATAATAAGTAATTAAAAATTACGACATATCTTACATTTTATTTAATTTGTCTATTACAAAATATATCAAATATCAAAGAAAACGGTATATACTATATTGTATATATGTTTATGGGAAATCGTGTGCATTACTCCTGTTTGCCTGTCCGACAATATATAATATATAATTTATGTATTTATAATGTATTGTGTTATAATAATTTAAATGTAATTTATTTTTTTAACAATAATTTAAAGCACAAAAAACACCTACCTTTATAAAGCTCAGCCTTAAGTGGTACTAGTCCTGCCCAACACTCGGGCAAACACTTATGTGTATTATTCGCTTGAATATTTGTATGCATCTGAAGGTACTCAGTTGACAATTGTGCAGCCTCTCCGGCTAAATCTCGGAACAACTACAGATATTTTTAGAAATATAATATTAACAAGGAAGGAAAGCTAACTTCGGTCGGAGCCGAAGTTGATATACCCTTACAGTCATGATCGGATATAAATTGTTATGAAAATTTAATTATAAAACCAATTTGTTAGAATACATGATTAAAAAGAACTTCCCAGGCTTCTATAAAAAAATTACCAAAGTTGGTATTTTCACCAAAAACCATTTCCGATCGTTCATTTATAATGCAGCTATAAGATACAGTTGACCCATCCTCATGGAATTTTGTATCAAATGGTCGAATCAAATGGTCCAAAATAGAATCTGTAGGAAGTTCCAACTTTCTGTCTGCAAAAACACGAAAGTTCAGTCATTTTCGATTGTTCAGTTATATGGCAGCTATAGTCAGCAGATTCTTATAAAAAAAAAGTCCGACATACAATATCTAAACTCTCTAACTCTAAAAATATATGTTAACACCCGACAATAAGAATATTCACTTCTGTAACCATGCGTTATGCCAAAAGCTCTCGCACTTACGTTTATATTTTCAGGTACACATAATACTTCAGTCTGTAGCTGAAACTTTGCAAAAAGACACTCTCGAGCCTGAGAAAGCATAAGGGAAACCAATACTTCAAGAACTTGTGGCTTAAGATCCATTGATGGTGCGTTCGTAAAAGTATCAAAAATATGACGGAAAATACCCGCTGCTCTTAAAAAACTGTCCACCGATGCGTCCAAGCCATCAGCAGTTGTACGGTCATGACGCGTACCTATCTGAGTGTATATGGCGCCTAAATTAAACAGAGTGCAGGCCTTTTCAAAGGATATGGTGCGCTGACAGGAAGGCACTCCTGTGAGGGAGTCATACCACTCAAAAAAAATTCCTATGTTTCGATCAGGCGGAATAAAGCGCCGCTCCACATAATACAGCAGATTGTAGTATCGAAAGAGTAGCGCAGTACCAAAGGCATCCCTCGAAGGTGTTTTACAAGCCTGCATAGAAGTGATACAAAAAATTACATATAGATTAATAGTAGAACATACCTGTCTGGTGTCTGTAATATCTGCTATAGCGTCCAAATAGGTTGAGGGCTCTTCGCTGTAATGTTCCAAAATAAAATCTGAAAAGGCTTCCATAAAATCAATTTCCTTTGTTTCCTTTAGGCCCAAAGGTATCATGGGCATTACTCCGTTGTGACTAAGAATAAAAATAATATATATAAGATACATTAATGTAATCTATATAGATAGGAATGGATTGTATATGGAATGATAAATTGAATAATTCTTTAGAGGCATTGCAAATAAGTAAAAACCGAATAAAAAACAAACATAGTCAGCGGAATAGCCAGCAGCCCGGCGATCTTCCAAAGATATTAGAACAACTCCTGAAAGGCATAAAATGTTGTGGAAAAAATATTTTGATGACATCATCATTTCAGCACAGACTAGGGAACAACATTTACAGAGTATTGATCAAGTTCTTGGTGTTCTTCAGGAAAACGGTATCAGATACTTGGGAAGAAGAATAACCGCAAACGGTTCTTCAACAATTGGATGCGTTTAAGGGTAACTATATTTTGGGACATATTTTATCCCACATTATTCGCAGTTGGCAGCACCCTTGAACCAACTTCGCAGAAAAAATTAACCATACATTTTTGAGCCTCAACAGCAGCAAGCATTCACAGATCATAAAGTTTCACATTATAAGCGCAACTGAACTAGCTCATTTCGATGAAAAAGTTACCGCTAGTACTAGCCTCATCCTCATACTTTGGTAGTAGTAGTGTTTTTTTATCTTCAAAACCAAATCAAACAAGAAAGCAAAGCTAACTTCGGGCGGAGCCGAAGTTTATATACCCTTGCAGCTATAACCGGATATATATCGCAAAAATCGGATATAGTTGGCCGATCCTTATGATTACATCATAATAAAACCAATTAATTACAATAAAGAATCTAAAAAAAAGTCCCAAGCTTCTATCTTCAAAAATTCGAAAGTTGATATTTCTACCAAATACCATTTCCGATCGTTCAGTTATATGTCAGCTATAAGATATAGTCAACCGATCGTTATGAAATTTGGTAGATCGGATTGACTGACCAAAAATAGAATGTGTACCAAGTGCCAGCTTTCTATCTTCAAAAACACGAAAGTTGGGTCATTTCCGATCGTTCAGTTATATGGCAGCTATAAGATATAGTCGGCCGATCCTTATGAAATTTGGCATGTCGTATTATTTTGCCAAAAATAGCTCTCATGTCAAATTTGAACTCTCTAACTCTAAAAACACCAAAGTTATACCATTTCCGATCAATCAGTTATATGGCAGCTATAGGATATAGTCGGCCGATCCCGGCCGTTCCGACTTATATACTGCGTGCAAAGGAAAGAAGGGTGTGTGCAAAGTTTCAAGACGATAGCTTTAAAACTGAGAGACTAGTTTGCGTAGAAACAGACAGACGAACAGACGGACAGACGGACAGACGGACAGACGGACATGCTCATATCAACTCAGGAGGTGATCCTGATCAAGAATATATATACTTTATAGGGTCGGAGATGTCTCCTTCACTGCGTTGCACACTTTTGGACAAAATTATAATACCCTCTGCAAGGGTATAAAAAGAAGGCCTCTTTATCTTAATATGGAAGAAAATATATTTTAAATTCAATGAAAAGCCGTTTGTAACTATTTTGAATCCAGGCAAGCATCTTCCACTGATGACATTAAATATACTACAACGCTGGACCATCACACTATGGTCCAGCCAACCACTTTTGTTGGCAAAAATCCATTTTTTAATCCAGTTATTTTTCATAAAAAAAAAATTGTTTCAAAAATAAAAAATTTGAATTAAATTGTATATAAATCAATTCAATTGTATCAATTGTTCAATTGTATATAGTCCGAATAGCCACTATCAACCACTTTTTTTTGGAATTTTCATTTTTAGTTCGTAGCCTCAAATTCAACAACTTAGATTTTCCGTGTGGAAGTATATCAAGGGCCAAGTATCCAAGGAGAATTCTATTGCCGAATTTTTTAAAACGGTAATTGTCGGCAATATTTCTTAGGAAATTATTCAAGATTTTGAAGATGCTGGCAAGAAATTTTGTTATCGCTTGGCGACAAAATGGATAAGTTGCAGGCATAATGCAAATGTATTTCAAAGCAGACATTCTGATTGGCTAAACACACAAACGTGTTTATCAGTTGGCCCGAAAAACAATTCAGTGGGACGCCCTGCATTGACATATAGTCAAATATCCTGTGGGATACTTTGGAGAGGAGGAAGCTGAAGCGCAAAACAAAATATACAAATCAGATCGCTTGCATCATGCACGGAAGTCCAAACGAATAAATAATTTTGGGACGTCTTCCACCGAGCAATGGATACACCTGATCCAATTATTTCGTCGGTCTACCTTGATAGACGAATAAAGAAACAAACAAAACTAAAACTTCCGACTGAAGTTTTGGAAATGCTATCAAGCGAAGGTGGTCCTTCAGAGGACTATTAAGGTTCAGGTTGGTTTAAGAACCAATTCCAGTATATAACAAGAAAGGAAAGATAACTTCGGACGGAGCCTAAGTTGATATACCCTTGCAGTTAAAACCGGAAAAATATAATCTGTACCAAGTTCCAGCTTTCTATCTTCAAAAACACTAAAGTTTGGTTATTTCCGATCGGTCAGTTATATGGCTGCAATAGCAACAAATTTGAAGTCTTTGAGTTTCATGTCGATAGCTTTAAAACTGAGAGACTAGTTTGCGTAGAAACAGACAGACGGACAGACCGACATGCTCATATCAACTCAGGAGGTGATCCTGATTAAGAATATATATACTTTATAGGGTCGGAGATGTCTCCTTCACTACGTTGCACACTTTTGGCCAAAATTATAATAACCTCTTAGTTAATTTATTTTTTAGTTCAATTAAGAGTTATGATTGTTCTTGGCGTAAAAAAAATTATATTAAAAGCCTTCGTGTTCACCTCAAATTAAAAAAAAAAAAACATGAAAGGAAAGCTAACTTAGTGTCAATCGTGTCAACTTTTGCGCTACCTAAAATTTTTTTTTTTTAATAGCAGGATAACGTTTGTTTAAAACTGTCCTTTAGGGACAACCATTAAATGTTATCACATAAACTTCACTTATAGATAATTTTAAATATTAAAATGGTAGAAATAAATTAGAGTAATAAGGGGAGATCCAGCGGATGTGTCCTTCTTAGTCTTCTGGGCTGCTCGCTGTTGTCCAGCAGGGAGCTGGCCAACAGGTTCGGGTGATTATGAAGCCTCTGCATGTAACGTGCGCTGCTTCTTTGTATCTCGTCCTTGACCCAAGGGAAATTGAGAACCTCGTGGATGGTGCGATTGTCATGATAGACGTGGGCCCCAGTGGCGATTCGAAGGGCTCTATTTTCGAACGTTTGTATAGTTTGGACATTCGTCTTGCTCGCAGTGCCCCAGAGCTGTATGCCTTACGTCCAGATTGGGCGTATTATTGCCTTGTAAATGAGGAGTTTAGTGGAAGTTCTCAGCTTCGATCTCTTACCCATAAGCCAGTAGAAGGATCAAAGTCTTTGATTAGCCTGTTTCTTCTTCTTAATCAGATGGGGCTTCCAGGTGAGCCTCCTGTCTAGGGTGAATCCCAGGTACTTGGGATTGTCTTTCTGTGGGATTGGAGAGCCGTTGAGGTTAACTGCAGGGCAGTTGCCTTTGCAGAGAGAAAATGTGGTGGCAGCACTTCTCATTATTGACGGCAATGTTCCATCGCTTTGTCCAGTCGCTGTGCAAGTCAAGCTGCAATTGCATCGTTTCGGCTGCCCCTATGGCGCTATCGCTACCTACAAATGCAGAGCCCTACAGTGCACTATGAGGTTTTTGACCTGTTTTTGTGGCATTAATTAATAACTCGGTCAGTTTTAGAGAAATCGACATGAAACTTTACCAATCGTTATTATTTGATCCTAGGCACATATAGTATGAAAATCGTTCGGATCAGGAAACTATATCCTATAGCTCCTATAGGATCGATTTGGTAAAAGTAAAGATCAATTATTGAAATTTAAGGAGCTGATATTTGTTGCTATTTTAATAAAATATAGCAATTGTGAACCAAATCGGATAACGCTTTCCGTGGGAACTATCAGTTTAAAATACCGGATTTCAGTGTTCTTCCATACAAATGCATATAAAAGTTGAAAAAGAAAAATTACTTCATACAGTAGTATTAATCTTATTATTCTTTTTTTTAATTTTCTATAATATATCAATATTATTTTAAAAAAACAATCTGGAATAGGTAAATTCGTCATCTTCGAGACAAACTTTTTTTTCGTATTTGTACGAAAGCATCTCAATTACCTCAATCGGAAGTAAAAGACTCTTTAGTTTTTTATGCATCTCGATAAATTAAGGACTAAATAATTGGATCTGATTTATCCATAGCTCTGTTGAACACATCAGCGAAGGAATGTAATCGGTTGTGCTTTCTTGAATGGTGACGCCTGTCTGATTTATACAGCTTGTTTCAGGACTGAGACGCTTCTTCTCCAAAATAGCCGACTGGAAGCACCGTAATTTCCATTACTTCCATTAAAAATTTTTGGCTTTTTTCTTTCAAAACGGCATTATCCACATTGTTATTTGCATGGCGTTCAAAAAAACATTGTACAGCCATTTGATGCTCAACCCGGCCCCTTTCGCTGTTCCAAGCAGCGACTAAATCGGCATTCGAGAAAGTGAGGTTATCTACGAAAAATTCAAATTGCACCAATAGTGGAGAAAAGTGCACGATACGACTAACAGCCTTTGCTCAGTATTGACAACTCTACAACATACACTTGGACGCATTGAAAACTTTCTATTCCTTCTATTTCAAAACTCTTCCCAAAGTTGAAATTTGATTCCCAAAATTCAGCTTAAGGTGCATCTATAAAATGACAAAATGTTAGTATAGACACGCACAATTAAAACAGTTAATACATTTAACATGTAGTACAAAACTGTGAAATTAGTGTCCATTACTATTTTTCTTTTTAAATGGAGTATTAAACAAATAATCTAATTTCACAGATCACTATGTGAAAATTGAAAACTTAGCGCACGTACTTTGGGATGCAACAGCTGACTTTGCAGCTGTTATGCTAACATATGCTGTTAAGAATTAACATTTTGAGTGTG